CTTATCTCACCATCCGAGGCCTGCGATTTGAGAGTATTTGAAATACAAATTTAAAAAACTACACCCACCAAAACCTAGTGGAGGAAGTTTCTCTCCCAGCCCTAGATAAGATTAGTTTTCTATGTCAAGTAGAACATATTGAACATCCCATAAGTTCTTGTTTTCTTTCCCTTTTATTGAGTAAGCACAAGCAAGAGAATATACGGATGTCTGTCCAACGACCTGTTTTTAAAAACCAATAAAAAGCTTATGATCCTAAACTTTAAAAAAAACCCTAAGAATGGATGTATGAATATATCAATGTTCTAATATAACTTTTTTAAAAATTTAAGTTCTATCAAACTTGAGTTATTAGAAGGCTAGAACAAAGGATGTGAACCACCCGGAATAGTGCTATATGCACCAATGGGGTGGTATATATATAAACTGAATGAATGAATGAAGGGAGGGAGGGAGGGAGGGAGGGATTTCCACTTTTGGCTGGTTTGTTCATTTATTTTTCAGGGACAAAGGCTTGATGGGGATTGGAGAGTTGAAAACCAGGTGTGAAAGTTCAAAATCTGAGAAGTCTGCAGGGTCTCAAAAAAGATATAATTGAAGCACTATGATGATGTTCTCAGTGAGGCCATCCATTGTTGCTTTGTAGTGCACAGATGATTCTTGGGGAAGCCCAGTTGTTGAACTATGGCTGTCAGATAGTTTGATCCTTTTGTCACATCTGCATGTTTTTTATTTCACTGAACTATGGATTCTACCAGTGTCTATGTCCTGAAACAATTAGATATATATATAATTGTTTCAGGACATAGACACTGGTAGAATCCATAGATCAGTGAATATATGTATATTTTTCCCAGGTGTCTCAGATTTTGAACGTGGATTGGATTTAGGCTTAGCCATACATAGAACATAGACTTGTTGGAATCAGCAGGACTGAAGTTACACTAACTCCTATATCCAGATTTTTAAAAAACAGAAGACAAAAATGTTGTGGCACCTGTTTTAGACTAACTGTTGTGTTTCAGTGTGAGATTTCATGGATACATCCACTTCTTCATCCAGTCTCTCTGTGATTATTTGAACAATTTTTTATTACCCCACCTTTGTTTTATCTTTCAGGTTGGAACAGAAAATCCAAGCATTTCCTTACATGTCATTGGTTTGAATGGACCTACTCATGATTTGGAAATGACCCCTCCAGATGATGCAAGAATGAGGTTTGTGTGATGTTAGCAGTGAGGGTTTTTCCCACTACTGTGATTCAACCTCCCTCGTTCACTCTTACAGATTCCAATTCCTTTCCCCTTCCTTCCTTTCCTGCCATGAGTAACTAGGCTTTGGGTACGTAGACCTGGAATGGCCATCCTGGCTACCATTGGCTTACCTTCTCTGATGTCATAGAAATGCTTGCCTTATTGGCCTGGGTAGCTCATTGCTTGGGATATAATCTCACTCGTAAAAGCAATCTGAATCATTTTTGGCATCTGTAAAATTGAGACCTCACCTCTCGATCAGAACTCAGTGGAACTCCAAACAAAGTTTTAACTTTCAGATTGGTATAAATCAATCCCGCAGGCTCAGGTTGTTAGCTTTAAATCCAATAAATCAGCTTCACGCCTGTGTATTTATTGTGGCTGCAAATTAAAAATGAAACAAAATGCCTTAAATCTACTTATTGCATCTGTTAAACTATGAACGTGTTAATAAGTATGTGCTCTGCCTTTTTTTTAAGGGTCTGGCAATGAGTTTTTCCATTTTATACTACATAACAACTCTTGTGTGAGGATAGGCTAAGGATACCCAACAAGTTTTATCACTAAGCAAGTATTTAAAGAAGCATCTCTTGGTTTAAATCCGTTACTCCAGAAAGGGGAGGGGGTGTGCTCATGAAAAGCTATGCTACAATAATGCATGGTATTACTCCATGCACAGCTACTTGTGAATAAACCCTGTGCGTGATCACGCTGCTAGTCCTTAAGGTGGCTCCCTGTAATTGAGTGTTTTGCTGGTTCAGCCTTACACAGATACTCAGGGAGCATATAAATCAAATCAAATCAAATAAATAAATAAATAAATAAAAATAAAAGACTCTGCATGCTTCATGGTGCGGATTTCTTTTTCTGCAAGTGCCCCATCTCATTCATGGGATATTGAGAGGATGGAGTCCAAATGTCTCCATTTATGATCCTCCAAAGTACCCTTTAAGGGGCCTTAATCTGGAAATGTGATTTTGTTTGGTTTTTTTTTTTTTTTGCAAGCTACTTGATTTGAAATTAGCATAAAATTATGGAAATTGGACTTATTTTCCTCACAACCCGAATTAGAAGTCCCACTGGGTGGATTCCCAGCATCCTGGTGGGGCATTATGGGTGACCGAGTAAGCGCCTGTGTCTTGTATGTTGCATAGTAGCAGGCAACACGGCGAAGGCCACATGAAATGGCCCAGCGGGCCAGATTCGGCCCATGGGCCTCAAGTTTGACGTTTTTTTTTGCAAGCTACTTGATTTGAAATTAGCATAAAATTATGGAAATTGGACTTATTTTCCTCACAACCCGAATTAGAAGTCCCACTGGGTGGATTCCCAGCATCCTGGTGGGGCATTATGGGTGACCGAGTAAGCGCCTGTGTCTTGTAGGTTGCATAGTAGCAGGCAACACGGCGAGGGCCACATGAAATGGTCCGGCGGGCCAGATTCGGCCCATGGGCCTTGAGTTTGAAACATGTGGTATAGCCTTCAACTATTTATAACAGCCACTGCCACACAAGCATAATATCAGTGTCCATGATGTAGGTTAAGAGCTAGACCAGATTTTCAGATATGGGTCAAACTGCAGCTCTTGGATAGATCAGAATGGATGCTAGCATTAATGATGAAGTCAACTCTAATCAAGTCTTAGCAGAGAACAATCTGTCTCCAGTTTACATCAATTCTGTGTTTATAATCTCTGACTTTGACAACTATTCCTCTGTTCCCTGGTCCTCCAGTGAGGTTTATTTGCTTTGATTTCACAGGGACAGTGAATCCGGGTTTCTGCCTGAACTTTACAGAAATCATCCAAGATGCCAAACCTTATCTCCCAAAATAGGTTCAGCACCTCCTCCTCCTTTAAACTCCTCTAAATATCAGACTAAATCCTGGAGCAGATTCACCCATACCCACCCACCACTTCTCAAAATCAAAGTCATCATCTTCCATGGGGCCATTAGTTCTATCCACCCTACATCATAATAACTCAAAATTTAGAAATTAGCTATTGTCTATTGTAGGTATTATTAGCTGTTACACCATTGCACCATGAGGTGTTGCCTATTCTTTGTGCCAAATTAGGTAGTCTTGACTATGGTTTGGCTCAGTGGATATCATTCCATGCCCCATCTGGTTTCCAACTCTCTGAATGCCCTTGTTGAATTCCAATGTCTTTATCCAACACCCTGGTTAGGACAGAGAAGATGTACACCATGACATCAGGAATGATTAAAGCAGAGGTGAACAAAGGGTGACCCTGGACCACATGAAACCTTTCAGGGCTGGTTTGGACCTACCTGTCCAACAGACTGCCTTGGCCAGCCTGGCAAAACTTGGATTTTCCCCTCCAAAAAAAAGATGTATGTGTGTGTGAGCTGACACACCCAAAGGGCTCCAGAAAAATCTCTCTCCCCCTCTCTCTCTCGTATATTTCATAGCTGTGTTTAACTCGAAAACTACCCTTTTTTTTTTTTTTTCAAAACCAAAAGTACATTTTTGGCCACTTTCTTTTTTTGGATTTTCGCTTTTTTTCACTGGTCTTTGCAATTCACAGAGGATCCAAATTGACTTCCAGGCTTGCTGAAGTAGTTTGTCTTCCCTTCAAAGCTGAAGGATTTTAGATTGTGCATCCATCGTCAACAACTTTACAGCAAATGTAAGCATCGAGTAATATTGCAAAACCGCATGCTTCCAGCTACTTTGGATCACTGGAAAGAGAGACGCTTCAGATAACAATTTGTCCTGCTTTTTTAACTTATTCTTGCTGATCGGGTTTTATGAGAAAGAGGGAGAAATATTGAAGCTGCTGGATTTCCAGTGTAAGATTGTGCTCTCATTTCTGCTTTGAAACGCTGAGCGTGAAGCTGTAAAATGTAGCCATTGTGACTTACCCTGCAGCTGAATTCTGACGCTGAACATTGCTGAGAATCACAAAATTAATCTCCATCTTATTATTTTGCTGGATAATCAGATCATCTGTGTTCCTGGAGCCCTCCTTCCTCTGTATGCATAAGCAAAGCCCTTTTCTTGAACACAAGACTTTTCTCCAGCGATGCAGCACATTAATCCCAATATGAACAACAACTTCTTATGCATATTTTATGGCAAACAAATGAACTCATAAAAATTTTATGGACTGTGCACACTGTGAAATGCTATTGTGTTATAATTTAGGGATGGCTTTGACCCATGTATTCCACTTGAATAGGATAATGCTGCAGAATTTGTCAGCCCTGCAACAGGGGGGACTCATTCATTATCTAGTCATTTACTCCTTTCTTAGCTCTAAGGGCCTGAAACGGCACACTCTGTGCTCCAGACATTAAAAATGTAATACCAGGCAAAGTTCTTACTACCACATAGAATGGGAGATTCAAACTGAGGTCAAGCAGAAAAAAACCATTCCTTCTAAACATTAAGAAAAGTTGTTATCATAGGTTGGGAATGGATTTAGTGGGTGAGGCTAGTGAACCCACCCCATGTTTTAGTCTAGATCTGAGGTCACTGGCAGGGGATTATCCATGCAGTTCCTGATGAGCTGTTGAGGGATGAAATGGGATCCTTGTTTGCCTATGCAATATTTTGAAAAGTTACGTTTTAAAAGTAATTTGTTCCCATTATTCAGTATAATGTTTAGGAAGTCAATCTATCGTCATCCCTCCTTACAAAAAATAAATGTATTGCCCGGTGGGGTGATGTTGGAATACATCTAGAAACAGCATGATTATCTGAGGGTGGGAGAACTCATTCAGTCATTTTAACAATGCTTACAGAGGGAGTGCTACTATATTACTGCTTCAGCTGTAGGGGAAGAAGGACATGTTAAGTGCTTGAGCATCAAACTTCAAAAGGCTTAAAACAAACCGTTCCTGCTTGTTTGAATCTGTTTTCGTGGTTTGCCTCCAGAAGACGTTTAAGCTCATGGACAAACTGGGAGATGCCTTCAAAACAAACATTTCCTTCCGGTACAAATCTTTTTCGGTTTTGCTCTTGAAATTCAGGGGGTGCCGTTTGCTCGCAAATTTCCCCGAGTGTCTTCGTTTGGAGTGCAGCCCACAAAGGGGTCAAGGGAGTCAGACTGGATTCTAGCCTAGTCTTAGTTGCCTTAGAGGGGCGTGGTAGCGCTGTGGGCTAAACCGCAGAAGCCTGTGCTGCAGGGTCAGAAGACCAAGCAGTCGTAAGATCGAATCCATGTGACAGAGTGAGCGCCCGTCGCTTGTCCCAGCTCCCGCCAACCTAGCAGTTCGAAAGCATGCAAATGCAAGTAGATAAATAGGGACCACTTCGGTGGGAAGGTAACAGCGTTCCGTGTCTAAGTCGCACTGGCCATGTGACCACGGAAGATTGTCTTCGGACAAAACGCTGGCTCTATGGCTTGGAAACAGGGATGAGCACCTCCCCCTAGAGTCGAACACGACTGGACAAAAAATGGTCAAGGGGAACCTTTACCTTTACCTTAGTTGCCTTAACTTACACCATGGAGTAAGGTAAGGAAGCAGCAAAGCTGCAGGATTAGCCCAAAGGCGGTATCTCTGAGAGTACAGGAAAAGCAGGCGTCTCCGATCAGCCGGGTTTGGAAGCATGAGGAGAGTTAAAACATCACAATGATGACTTTGTTTCAACCCGTTGAGGCTTCCGGCAGGGGCGGACATCTAGACAGAAAGAATTGGTGCTGCATAAGCTACAGCAGGACTGGTGGCCACCTAGTTCAGTAGACATTTCAGGCTTAAGACCTGTGTGTGTGTTCCAGTTTTATTGCAACCTAGGTTGGCAGATGGCCCCAGGTACAGAACAAGAAGAATGCAAGCATAAAGCCCAGATCCTATTGTGGAGAACCACATTCATGAAGGCAAGACACCAGGAATGGGCATTCAAGAGACAGGCCAGACAATACCTCCCGCATTTCTGCCCGTACACAATCCTCTAAGGGATCAGGAGGACTCCAGCCTAGGCCTGTACCTGGCCTTTTCTATGTGAAACACCGGCCGCATGTTTTTTCCTTGCTTTCCCCTACCTTCCTCTTCTTTCCTTGCCTCCGTGGTTTCCCCTCCTGCAAAGCAGGAGACAAAGGCTAGGTTGACTTTTTGCCCACCTCCCTAGTGCGAAATTCATGGTAACAAGACTGTCAACTGTCTGCCACGGAGTGTAAGCCATTTTGACCAGAACTGTGTCAATCCAGAGTTCTGACCAACGTGGGCATGAATTAAATATTAAACAACAGCAGGAATAGGTAGAAGGAAAAGTGGCTTGTGTTCGAGTGACTTGGGTATCGCTTTGGCGTTGTGCATTTTTAATGGTTAGGGATTATCCATTTTGCCCTTCCCGACAGTCATTGAAGGGTGAAGTACCCTTTGCTTGAGGTATGGGCCAATTTGCAAGGCCTGTGGGAGGTACCGTTTCCACAAAATTGTGGGTGCATTTTTTTTAAAATGTGAAAAGCCAAATATCTGCATAATGGAAAACTAGTTACAAAAATCCTTTATTAGTCCACGGGAGGAGCCTGCTTTAAAATGCTTATGTTAGGAGAAAGTATGCAAAACTGCATTCAGAAAATGTAAGAATTTCCATGCAAGAATTTTTTTTCAAAAAAGGAAGAAAGTCTGGCAACCTGATAAAACAAAAGATTGGTTGGAATGCAGGTAGGGATTGAGAAAAATGCCATCAAATTAAGATTGAGAATTAGAAGTTGTGCAGCAGAGTCAGGACTCACTCTCAGGTTTTTGTTTGTTTGTTTGTTTGTTTTTTGAGTGGCAGGGATTCTGACATCATCCACTACTACCACCCCCTTCCAGGATCCCCTGTTCCCTCTCAGCTTTCTCTGCAATCCTTCTGGTCGCTGTGGCTGGAATGAATTTCCCTTCACACTAATATATTGTTTTGAGCCATCTCAGTTTTGGGCTGGAGAAGGCTTGGTCTAGAACGGGCAATAAAGGTCCATTAGCCTTACGAAACACCTGCTCCTGATGGAAATGAAAACAGCTAGAACAAGTGTGTTGACACGGATAGGGGGAAAAAAGCTGCCTGCTTATTTGGACTACTGTGTGTTATGGTGATTTTCCAACAGCTCCACTGTAGGAGATAGTTTGGAGGAATCAAAATGGCAGCCAATCCTAGCCAGACCTGATGAGGCGGACTTCCTTGTGTACCTCTCGCACTCATGACACGAGGTGGGGCTTGTTTTGTGCATACCTAGTGGACAGTACTGCCCTCTAGTGTCTGCTTCAGGTATTGCCCAGATAAAGCAGTGCCCCCTTCCGGCTGATGCCATATCTGGAAAACAAGGCATTCTGATGTCCCTTTATTATGTCCCTAAAAGGCGGTGGTGAGACCCAAATACCCTTCTTTGTTTTTCAGGGAGTACTATATAACCATGGTGAAGTGGGCGACAAGTACCAAAGTTGCAGTAAACTGGCTGAACAGGGCACAGAATTTTTCTATCCTGACACTCTGTGATGCCACGACAGGCGTCTGCACCAAGGTATCTGTTTTGATTTATCTACAAAACCTGTTATTTTAAAGAAAGGTGCCCAGAGTAGATGATAGCCTACATTAAAATAGATTTAAAATTTAGTCGCCAAAATCCCTATTGCATTATCTTCATTGCTGGCATGTTGCAAACAGCTTTTAGAGCCACACATGGGGCTTAAAACCTCACCCGTTTATAACACATTAGTGGCTCAAGGGAGGTGTTAGCCAGCCCTAATTTTGGATGAGGACTGGGCGCGTGATAGCTCAGTGGTTTAGGTCTTGGACTGCAGAGCCGAAAACACGTTAGTGGCTCAAGGGAGGTGTTAGCCAGCCCTAATTTTGGATGAGGACTGGGCGCGTGATAGCTCAGTGGTTTAGCTCTTGGACTGCGGAGCCGGAGGTTGGGTGTTTGATTCCCCATTGGGTCTCCTTGACAGAACTGGATCCCTTCCAGCTCTGTAGTTCTATGATGATGATAATGATATGGATTCTGCGTATGAATTTTGCACAGTTGTAGTTCTATGATGATGATGATGATGATGATGATGATGATGATGATGATGATGATGATGATATGGATTCTGAATATGCATTTTGTACAGTCGTTGTTCTTGTTTTCCTAAATATGGTAACTGAAAAATAACCCCTTCACTTCTTGGTTCGGCTACTGATCAAAGATTCCTAATAGGATCATGTGTATAGAAGTATATGGTAACTGAAAAATAACCCCTTCACTGCTTGGTTCGGCTACTGATCAAAGATTCCAAATACTGTAGGATCATGTGTATAGAAGCGATCTGTGCCGTGGCTGCCTGGCCCCACGATGCTATTCCTGGCCGGATCTCAGGCTTCAAGGCACAAAACATATCCACAAGCCTGAAGCCTGCCTCCCGCTGACACAGATCTCCCCCCCCCCATACTATAAACCCAGCCACCTGTTTAACTGGGAGCGAAAAGGAGGACAAAGTGAATGTCATTCACACGGCCTTTTCATAAGCATGCTTGGATGAGTTCCTCTGTGCTTGCTCATCCGCTGTTGAAATGGAGTCAAACAGCTTTCTGCCCTGATGGACAGAGTAGAATAGATGTAAACTGCAATATAGTATTTTAATTATGTTGCTTCATTTCAGAAACATGAAGACGAGAGCACAGCCTGGCTGCACCGACAGGTAATCGCAGTGCTTCCTTCTGGATCAATTTTGCATTCTTCTTTCCTTTCCTCCCCCCACCCTTTTTCCTCTCCCTTCTTACTTTCAAAAGTGTAATAGTGCAGAACCACAAAGATACAGGCTTGCATGCTGCAAAGCTAATATCTGAGTGGAGATTCAGAGTGACCTGCCTCTTCTTAGGAAACTCTCCTTTCTGGAGAAGGTCTGTCTTGGACAGCCAGTGTTGAGTGGACAGCAGGAGCTCGGTTAAACTGGACACTGGATGATTGGTGATAGAACTAGCTTTGGAAACCAATGGTTCTTGGGGATTTGTAATAAACCATATCCTGGATATGCCCTTCAAAGCAAATCGAGGTTAGGGGTGAGCAATATGTGGCTTCCAGACGTTGCTGGCCTTCATTTCTCTGACTCCATCAAGCAACGGGATTTCAGCCATTTTTTTTATACCTAGTTGGTTAGCATGCATTGTTACTTGATTTCAGAGACTTAAAAGAGTTTTCTAGCACTGTATAAACTAACGCACCATGTTTGGCATAAGCGTTTGTCCATACTTTTCTGAGCCCAGTTCAAATGCCTGGTTTCGTCCTCTGTATTTGAACTCCATCTCCCATTACGAACATGCCTGTATCACAAAATCAGCATTTGAGGTTTTCCTCAAGAGTATTTTCTCCAAGAGAGAGAAGAGGCAAAGAACGGTAAGGAGAGGGATTGTCCAGTTATAGCTCTTCAGCTTTAGAACTCTCTCTCCCTAGCCTGGTCCACTAAGGCCCAGCCCTATCATCTTTCCAGGACTCCTCTACATCTGATAGGGGTGGTCTTGCATCTGATGAACTGGGCGCCAACTGTGGAAGCTCATTCCAAAGCTGCTGGATAGCTCAGTGGCTTAGGGCTGTGGCTGCAGAGCTGGACATTGGGAGTTCAATTCCCCACTGGGCCTCCTTGGCAGGGGCTGGACTTTATGATCTCAAGGGTCCCTTCCGGCTCTGCAGTTTAAAGGCTATTATTACTGTTAAATAATACTCATTCTTAAGAGGCCGTAACACTCTTGGTTTTGCTGCAACAAAATACTGCGGCTACCTGCCCAGATTCTGCTTCAGATTTTTTTTCCTCCAGCTTTTTCCACTTCTGTTCTCCCCCCTTCCCCCGTCATCCATTACTAGTTTGTTCACAACCAGAGACGCAATAGTGTGATATTAATCACTACAATGTTTAGTGGCATTCAGCACAACTCCATAAATGAATACAAACTGCTTTCTTAAGAAAGTCTGTGGGCGTTGCACTTAGAGATGCAGTGGCAGGACTCTTCATTTGACTACGTAGGGGTTATTAATTGGGGTTATTTCCTTTCTTTTAAAATTCGCTTTGTTGTCCTTTTTGTTGACCCACAGAGTCTGCTGCCTGAAGCCATTGCCCCACCCTACCATAAAACTAGGGCCAGACCTGCCACTGAAAATGGCTGCCCATACACAAACTTAGCTTCTCCCTTTTCCACACTGTCACAATTGGCAGCTGTTGATGGGGAATCAGTTCTCTGCGATTGTGTCTCATCCCCGCTCAGACTGGTAGCTCCTGATGTACAGCCAAATTGTGTAGGAAGAAAATGTTTACACAGGACAAAAGAAATTCATCAGAATACGACACATCCCAACCCTTGGGCAATGAGGTAGTCAGGAAAAGAAGGAGGTGCATATGATTGCCATAAGGATGTAGTAGGGCGGCTGGTCTCTGTGAGGCTTCTCCATGTCCCCCAACCTCTGTAGACAGAACCCATGAGATCTGGCGCCTGATGTACTTACTGTACATCTAATATGAGCATGTGGTGCGGACCTTTTTGTCATCGGGCCTTGTAGGCAGAGTCCACTCACAAACAGAGGCATGAAGGTCAACATCATTGCATGCAACATGTTCAGCCTGATGTACTTACTGTACATCTAATATGGGCCTGTGGTGTGGACCATGAAGGTCAATATCATTGCATGCAACATGTTCGACACGATGAGAGGACCATGAGTGGCTGATGCTTGCTTCCGTGTCCCACTGTCTACAGAGTCAACCCATTGGTTTTGATGCTCAGGAAGAAGGAAGTTGGAAGCAGATACGGTGGCATGAGCAAGACTCTGATCACTCAGGAATGTTTTTGCACAAGAAACAGACAACAAGGAAGCTCTATAGCTTGTTGCAAGCTGAGAAAAGGCACCTGAGGGGGGGGGACATGATTAAGACATATAAAATTATGCAGGGGATGGATGAAGTGGATAGAGGGAAGCTCTTTTCCCTCTCACGCAAAACCAGAACAGGGGGACATCCACTCCAATTGAGTGTTGGGAGAGTAAGAACAGACCAAAGAAAATATTTCTTTACCCAGTGTGTTGTTAGTCTGTGGAACTCCTTGCCACAGGATATTGTGATGGCATCTGGCCTAGATGCCGTTAAAAGGGGATTGGATAGATTTCTGGAGGAAAAGTCCATCGCAGGTGACAAGCCATGATGGGGATGTATAATCTCCAGGCTTAAAAGGATGGGACCTCCAAATGCCAGATGCAAGGGAAAAGGTATCAGGAGACAGGTATCGAGTTTTCTCGTGAGCTCCTAGAGGCATCCAGTGGGGCTACTGTGGGATACAGGAAGCTGGACTAGATGGGCCCTCGACCTGATCCAGCAGAGCTCTTTTTAGGTTCTTATGATTTTTAATAGGAGTGTATCTCTGTGTGTGAAATTAATTTTGCTAGGTAAGTAGCAAAATGGGGAGCCTGCAGGACAAGGCTTGAAAAGTTGCTTTAAAGTAGAATTGATATAATGATGTGTTGAAAACTGCCATAGCTCAGTGGTAGTCGATTGATGCTCTGGGACCCATGTCACATAATCATACGGCTTTAGCATGCCACTGGATTTATTCTTCTTAAAAGTAAGTTTTCAGGATTCTGGAATGCCAGAAGTTATGTGAACATAAATAAAGAACACTGCTTCTATATTCTTTCTGCATCCATTCTGGAATTCCATCCACCCACTCTTCCTGGCTGTTTATTTAACAATATTAACTAGAGGGGGGGAAAACACGGTTATCTATGGGTGTAAAGTGGAGGCTGAGAATTCTGATTTTTGTGGAACCCCTGAATCCACTCCAGGTTTCATTATGGACCTTATACGAGCCAGACACGCACACACGCATGAAGAAGGAATAAAACTGCCCTGCTCTGCATAATATCCGTGCTTCTCCCTCCTGCTTCTTACCATAATTCGTAATCCCCACCCACACATTCACTTTAGCTAAGCCCCAGTGCATTTTCTGATGAAGAATTCTGTTACTTTAGAATGTTGAAAATTTATCCTCTCTCCTGCTATGCTTTCTGCTGCTTTGTGGTATCACGGTGTGTAACTGATCCTCTCAGATATTATTTAATATGCAGCGCAGTTAATCTTCATGCACACATGCACTCTGCTAACTGAATGTTTCATTTATCGCGAGTCTTGGAGAGGGAAGGGGATATGAAATGAAGGCTTGTTGTCACTGTAAGAATAAAATGGGTGAAAGGAGGAACGTATCTATTGTCTAGAGTTTCTCAGACAGAAGGCAGGACATAAATGCAATCAACTCAAAAAAAAAAATACATCAAGTATTGTAGGAAAGTACCACCTTGGCCAATTTTTTATTTTGCCTGATGATGGGAAATTAAAACGACTGGCTCATCTTTAACAATATCTCTGGGGTCTGTTAGATAATGCAATTCGAGCCGAGTCATTTTCAGTAAAGCTGAGAAAATGAGAATCATTAGGAGACCTAGTGCACCGTGACACTGTGAATTAGGGGAACGCCAGCGCAGAGTGATCATGATGAAGTCAATACAATGAAGATCCACCTTAGACTGCCAGGGTGGAGTAGAAGCATAAAGACAAACTAGAAGGGACCTTTCATGGGGAAGGAAGGTGAGGCAGAAAGGGTCTTTTAGAGCAGTGGTCCCCAACCTTTTTCGGTCTGTGGACCATTTTGGGAGGTGTGCACCATGCACGGACCGGTTGGGGGTGGGGCATCCCGTGCTCACCGGTGGGCACGTCATGCTTGCAGGTGGATGTGTGACCTTCATGCAAACCCTTCCCCGGGACATGGAGCTACTTGCGGTGGGGGAAGCAGGAGAGACAGCAATAGCTGAAGCCAGAAGAGGGGAGAGAGATGGAGTAACTTTGCAGACAGGCTGGCTGGGCGCACGGAGGAAGCACTGCTTCCGGGAAGCAAGAGTTGCAGGAGAGAGATGGAGTAACTTTGCAGACAGGCCGGCTGGGAGCACGAAGCACTGCTTCCGGGAGGCAAGAGTTGCAAAGTAGCTCCATGTCCAGCTTCTTGCAGATGAAGGAGGACACAGGCGGGCAAGGGCGGGGGAGAGAGCGGCTGCTTGATAGCGAGCTGCTCCCTGGAGAGGGAAAGTGGGGAGTGAACGAGCAAAGAAGCAAAGCCGTGCATCAGGGCGCTTCCTGGGCTGGCTGCCCCACGGCGGCTTCCCCACAGGGAAGGAGTGCTGCTCTCCTGCAAGGGGCGCTGGGGGGAGGGTTAGCATGAAGGCCACACACCCACCAGCAAGTGCGATATGCCCCCCCTTGCGGGGGGGCAGAGATGTACATGAAGGCCACATGCCCACCAGCAAGTGCGATATGCCCCCCTTGCCGGGGGTGGCAGAGATGTATGTCCGTGGCCCTGTTTTAGAGGACCCACGGACCGGCACCGGGCCGTGGACTGGTGGTTGATGATCCCTGTTTTAGAGGGTGAAAATAATCTGAATTTCTCCATGTCAGTTGTTGCCATAATTCATAACACTCACCGCACATTTGTTAAGCCACTCTGCAGTTTCTGATGAAGAACTGTGTTACTTTAGAACATTGAAAATGGAGAAGGAAGGTGCGGCAGAAAGGGTCTTTTTTCCTGCAAAGGAAAAAGTTCAGGAAATGGAATGAGTTCACTGAATTGGCACGTCTATGAGTTTGTTTACTCTTCACCTGGGCGTTCTTCTGTGCCTATGTCTGTTTTGCTTTTTGTAGATGATGTACCTTTTTGGGAACTTCCCCTTGTGGGCCTGCACTGGTCATCTATTCAGTTTTGCCTCTGTAGAGTATAACTACCTGGTTTGTTTTGTGTTTAACAGGAGAGGAAGGGGAAATATCCCTGCCACATCCCAATTGTATCAGAAGGAATGCAAAAATGACGGAGGCCAAAGTCCTCTTGCATAGATATGCAAAACATTTACTAGCAAAGTGCTGTAAACTAAGAAATATACCTAGACATTATCTGTTGCATGCCACGTCCCATGACTCTTACGCTCCAGATTGTGCCAACAGAGATTGCTTAACTTACAGCAGTTTGCCGCTAAAAGGTACCCCTTTTGCATAACTGCACAACAAGATTTTGGCTAAAGCTAATTTTTGAGTTTCAGAGACAAAAGCAAACAAGATGCTAAAAATGTTGCAATTTACTGCACTGGGTGTGGCAGCAACATAACCATTTTCTAAATTGTGAGTCTCCTTGAACCCCCAGTGAAATGTTTCATCACCATGGCCTCAAGGAAAGGGGGAACCAATATGCCATTGAATCGCTAGAATTTCTTGACAGTTTACAACATGCTTGTGCTAAGTTATCTAATTATCTAAAATAATGACAGTGACTATCTGATGTGCTTAGAGAAGTTGCCTTTTTTTGAATGACAGTTTCCAGAATCCCCTCTTGATCATGCTCTCTAGGCGATATGGGAGCTATAGTCCAAAAGGTAGCTTTTCCAGTTCTCGGTAGGACATATCTAGGACTCTCACTTTCTTGGCTGAAATCCTGTTGCTTAGCATAGTAATTTGCACTAAAGTACACTCATTGAGTCTGTGGATATTTGGTGAATCAACTCTTCCATATGTTCCATTGATTCAAATAAGCCTACTCTAGTTGCAACCTACTTTAGTGTAGTAAGTCACAACTAGAGTAGGTCCATTGATTCAATTAAAGTGAGTCCTTAGGCAATTAAAGAAAGTCAGACTGCAGAATGAGATAATGGGAACAGCTCCCAGTTGCATCAAATAAACTGCTGCTCTAGCGCTGTGCTAGAACAGCTCTCAAAAAGGCGGGATGGGTAGTTCTTACTTAAACATGTGTGGTAACCAGAAAATAGGGGGAAACCAAACCACCCCAAAAGCAAACTGAATAGCGAGTTATGTGCTCATCTGATTGCCCCCGTAGTTAAGCATGAGGTTGTTGATGTCTGCATCAAGGCACTCAAAATTCCCATGGTTTTGTACAAGAAAGAAGCGTAAAAAGAAAAATAATAACCATGTTTCATCAGTTGTGACCACTTTGCAGATAGCTTCTGGCAAAAAAAGAACCATGCAGCTATAAAGGCTTTCAATAAAAGTCTATATTATAGTTGCCTTCCAGATGTTGCTCTGTAGATCTATCGTTGTCTTGATTTGGAAGAAAAAGCAACCATATGAAAGGATGCTCTCCTTAAAGAGAAGAAAGCTGCAGTGACCTAGATCTCCGCAGGGCTCCTTTTGTTGTCATGTCAAAGTAACACAAAGTTTAAAAAAAAGAGAGAGAGAGACGGAACTTCACTTATTAATGAATAGTAATAGAAGTCTTCAAAACGTCAGTGCTTGGTGACTCAAAGGATCAATGGTTTCAGTTTGTAGCTTTTAGGCAACTGCCTCAAAATTTATGGAGAGACGGCCATGTTCCCTTCCCGGTTTTCTAATAGAGTCAAGAAATGAGAATGTTGTAGCTTGAGGCTAGAGGGTCAGGACGTGCAGTCAAAGCAAGAAAGGAAACTATGTGGGGAAAAAGCAGGTTCTGCAATTGGGGGTGGGGGTGGTGTCAGAGTTTATAAAGGAGAGTGACTAGTCAAGAAGGAGTGTGTATGAAGAGCTCAGAAAAGGAAAAGAACTAGTAAATTTGCTGCTTGGACCAAGGCCGGCCCTATCATTGGGCAGATAGAAGTGGCTCCCTCAGGAACTAGTAAATTTGCTGCTTGGACCAAGGCTGGCCCAATCATTGGACAGATGAGCATCTGTGGCTCCCTCAGATGATAAACACTTGGAGGAGGCAACCTGTCCTTTACGTGGTGAGATAGCTTGCTTTGCTCTGCTGCTATGAGGGGTACATACTACTTCCGGTGTTAAAACCCAATTCAGCTACCACTTCAGTTTGTGTAGTGAACCTCATCATTTTGCTCACTTGTGGTGTCAACGGTTCAATCTTTGCAGAATGAAGAACCTGTCTTTTCCAGAGATGGCAGGAAGTTCTTCTTTGTCCGAGCCATTCCGCAGGGAGGGCGAGGCGAGTTCTACCATATTGCCATGTCTTCGTCACAGGTGAGCCCTCTCTTTAGTTAGTTGCTAAATTCATCCAGTATGTAGATAAGAAACAAGGAGACACACAGGTCATTTTGATCCCAGGTTGCACCTTGCTCATGGCACCACAAAGACTCCAGGGGAACACATATGTCTTTAAGACAAAGGGTTTTGAAGCCCACAGTGTGTGTTGTTGTGTGTTTTTTCCCGGCAGTCTTGTAGTTGCCGTTGTTGATGGAAGCTGGCAGTGCTGGGAAAAAAGGGGGGAGGTTAAGTGCAAATTGGGGATTATGGAAAGACTGATTGATGGATAATGAAAAGTAAATGCTTACGGAAAAGGATGGTTGGATTGATCAACTGCTGCAGCCCCACGGAGGAGGAGATTTTATTGGATGCAAGAAGCTGAAATAGTGGTGAGGAAGGACTTAAGGAGTTGGGGTGTAGAGTTATTTTCTTCTTGAACCGTGGTTCCCATCCTTAGATTTTCAGATTTTTTCTTGGGCTGCAATTCCCAGAAGCCCTTGCCAGCATAGCTCATGGTGAAGGCTTCTGGGAGATGCAGTCCAAGAATGTCTGGAAATCGAAGGTTGGCAACTGCTGTTCTAGAAGAAACATAGTGTTTTGCAACCTTTCGTTCTTTCTTGTCCTGGTCTCAGAAAGCCATGATGCGGATGCAGTCAGAGTGCTTGGGATCAGAGAAGGCAGACAGTGCACAAATTTGAGTGCAATCTGTTGGTTGACCTCCAGCCAGTCACAGTCTTACACTCTAACTTACCTCACGTGGTTGGTGTTGAGAATAAAAAGAGGAACCACATGGGCCCTTTTGTGCTTGTTTGGCTCAAACATGAGGTAGAAACGCTCTCAGTCCATCAGTCAGTGTGTGTGTTCAAGTCAGAAGCCATTTATCTCTTAGTCATTGAGTGGCGATGCATAAGCACTTTCTTTCAGTTTGCATTTTGCTACTAAACAATCTGATGCACACTTTCCAAACCAATACCCCAAATCAGAAACTATAAGCACACTTCTTCTTTTGCAAGAAAAGAAAAATAGTTTGTGTGTGTCTGCATTTTTCCCAATATTAAAAAAGCATACAAATGTGTACACTGGCAGGAAGTTCACACCAATGTGGATGATGATGATGATCAGTTTTGCAATGCAGTTCTTCCAATCAAAAATGCATACAGAAATACATAATGCATACAGAAATACATACATATAAAATGCCTACCGTTTATGAAATTCCATTCAGAATGGAATGAGAAAAGTGCATGAAAAACAATGAAGTTGTCATATGTTGGGAAAAGTTTGTAATGTATTAGTGAAAATGGCATCAAATGCATTAAATTTGAGAGATCTGCTTGTGCTGTACACAACTGAATGCAGTACAGCTAAAAAAAACTGCATGAAAGCTCATGCTTAATTTTTATGATGTGAAAAAATAGAGAGAAACCAAAACTGATTGCCCATTACTGTTCACAAACAGTGTCTGAAACATTAGGAGAGATTGTTCTGAAGAAGACAAAGCAGATCTGTACTGATCCTCTGGACATCTTGTTTTTTTAAAAAATATAAAATAAAATCCAACTTTTCCTTTCTTTTCTCGGCAGCCTAATATCAGTAATGATAACTTACAGACCATCACATCGGGTGACTGGGATGTGACCAAGATTTTGGGATACGATGAAAAACAGCATAAAATGTAAGTAACTTTCCATCTTTTAGATGATCCATGGTGCCGACTCTAGAGTGGGATTCACGCGGCAGTTGATTTGGTAGATTGACTTACCATCTTTTAGAAGATCCATGGTGCCCACTCTAGAGTGGGATTCACACGGCAGTTGATTTGGTAGATCGACTTTGCTTGAAACTAACAACACAATTTAAAGCAAAAAAAACCCACAAAATTCACAGAGCACTTATATAGGCCATTTGATAATGCTGTGGATCATGGCAAAGAATATTGTCCTTAAATACTGAAACTTATTTGTTTGATGCTGTTTAATATTTGTTTTCTTACTGTTTTAGCTTTAAATATTGTATTTTAATTGATGTAAGCTGCCTTGTGTCCTTTTTAAGGAGAAAGGCAGAGTAAAAATATTTTGAATAAATAAATAAAAGAAAAATCCTTCAACTATATATTTTTTACAATGAAACTACCGGAACTGGCCACGAGAGGGAGCCAGAGACCATGCTATGTATAACATTCACTATTATAATAGTGTTCTCTATACAGCAGGACCCCCATATCCATGTGATCAGTATCCATGTATCCACGGTTTTACTTCTCCATAGTCTGAAAATATAAAAAATGTAAAAAGAAAAAAAAAACAGAAAAGAAACTATTTTCACATGTATTACCAGGACCGACCACTACAGGAAGCCATAGACCTATTAGTGAATAATACATTGCATGCTTACTGGTGCCCTATAGTGGCCAGTTCTGGTAATGCATGAGAAAATAATATTTTCTGTTTTTTCTCTTTTACCATACATATATGGTGTTTCCTATTATCTGTGACTTTCAGTATCCGTGAGGGTTTGGAACCAATCTCCAGCAGATACGGGGGTCCAAATGTAATCCACATTTTTCAGCATTTGTGAGGGGGATTACATTATTACATTAAGGTGCCTAACATTATTAAAAGACAATACCTAAATTTTGAGTTATAGTATTTTGAGGGGGGAGGTGTCAGTTCTTTTAGTTTATTCAGTCATTTGAGTGATGAGTAAGAGGGTAGTTTCTGTGTTCAAAAGCTATTTTTGAGCAATTTCTGGTTTAACATGGTTCTTATGAATGACTGTTTTTTTCCTAATCAGCTAACATAAATTAAATATCAAACCTAAACTGCAGTCATATTTTTCATGTATTTTATTTTAGCTATTTCCTCAGTACAGAAGAGCTGGCAAGGACAAGACACCTGTTCAGGTATGATTTATTTCAAGTGAGAGGACAATGTATTTATTTCCCAAAATGAGAGAGACTATTTCCAGTTATTCTCGCACCTGAGCAGATGCATTGTAAAGTAAGCCCAAAGCAAACACAGTACCTGTGCATTCTATCTGGTATACACATGTTTTCCTTTTGTATTTGGAGAAGATGCATGTATATCATGTTTTGTAAAGATTTTCAAAATAGAAAGCAGCTGTCATTCCAGCTCTCCCCTTCTTGCCTTTAGGGATGTTGTATAGAGTCACCACAACCAGGATATTCTAGAGAAACTGGTCTAAACTAAAGCTTCATGCCATTTTTGCAGTAACCTAAGTTTATCATTCCCTGTTGGAAGGAATTTGGGAGGGTCTCATTGCCCAGGAATAAGGAGATTGCCGGATGCTGCAATGAGGACCAGGCTGGGTTGTCACAAAAGGGTGACTACTGGATCTTTTGTATCCCAAGAAGAACAATATTAAACAGCAAAGGACCTCACAGGACACATTAATAAATACAAAATGAATATACTGTATTTTTCCATGTATAAGACTATACTTTTGTCGAAAATCTTTACATTAAAAATTGAGGGTCTTATACACAGAAGTAAGCTGAGGATAGTACCAAAACAAGTGGAGGGGAAACCAGGGATCAAAGTGATCCTGCAGGGCTTTGATCCCTGCTTTCTCCTCCACTTGCTAATCCTTAGCAAAAGGGAAGCAGGGATCAAAGCGCTGCAGGATGGCTTTGATCCTTGCTTTACCCTCTGCTTACTAAGTCCTATGGGGCTTAGCAAGTGTAGGGGGAAAGGATCAAAGCAATCCCATGGCTGTATAATGGGGAAAGGGATTTAAATGATCATACAGTCACATGATTGCTTTGAACCCTTTCCCCCTCCTTTTGCTAAGCCCCACAAGGCTTAGTACGAAGGGAGAAAGCAGGCATCAAAGCAATCCTGCATTGCTTTGGTCCCTTTTCCCCTACACTTGCTAACTCCCACTTAGATTTCTTAATTTTGGGTTAGAAAACTGGGGGGTGTCTTATACATGGGGGCATCTTATACACGGAAAAATACGGTACTTTATTACCTATTGATTACAATTCTAAATAAAGGTGTTTCATACATTCAGCACATTCACACTACATACATACTCACCAAAGAGAGAATAATTCTTTATTTGCATTGTCCAAGTTCCAAAGGAAGTGGTTAGCTCCAAAAGCCTTTTGGTCTCAGCAGACAAATTATGGTTGCCTAGACCCTCTTTTTATAGTCTTTTTGCAAGCTGGGCATGCACATTAGATGTTTCTTTGTTTCTAACTGGGCATGCGAATTAGATGTTTCTTTGTTTCCCCCTAGATATATGGTCCTTATCACTTATTGTGAAGTATGGAATGCTTAATGTGTCTTCCATCACTTAATGGACAGATGTGGAATGTGCTTGCTGAAGAGGATCCTTGTACCAGAGTCTTCTCAACCCCCCAAGTTTGCTCCACTCCCTCAGCAACAAATGTGTTCTGTCAACTTACTGAAAGCATAGTTCAAAAAGTTCACAGTTCAATAGTTGAATTTCTTACTATGAGGGCTTATAGCTGGAAATACAAAGTCCCATAGTTTCTCTGGGTTTTGTTGGTCTCCGTCTTTGTGTCCTAATTCTCTCTCTTTCTCTGGTCCTTCACCTGATCCAGGCCAAAAATGCACACACCTTACAGGGTGGCAGTGCACTGATCCTCCCAGGAGTGGCCCACGGTCTGAGGAGGGTCATGGGGCTTACTTTAACCTGAAATGGTTGGAGGAGGTGTCCTCCTCTCAACCTACAAGCCACCTGTGGATTCTCCCAAGCAAAGAAGCATCACCATGAAGGCCACTTGTAATGTCCAGATAAATAAATAAAGGAGCCTCCCCCCCCCCGCCCTGTATTGGAAAGGGGACTTGCCTTTCCAATCCAAAATAAATAAGCAAGCAAATTGTTTCAAGGCACCTTTACTTCTTTGTACTTAAGCCTGTGTTCTTCCTCCATCCCTTTCTTTTTGTTTTTCAGTGCCAGCACGAAAGGGAACTATAACAGGCGCTGCCTCTCTTGTGATATGAATAACAGCTGCAACTACTTCAGTGCCTCCTTCAGTCACAACATGGCCTATTTCATCCTGACCTGTGAAGGTAGGCTTTTTTGCACAGTGGCTGATGCAGTTTTGAATGTCTGGTAAAACTCCTTTTTCTTACTCCGTAGAAGCACAGAGACTTACAGAGGAGGATAGCTACAAGTTCTCCAGAGTCCACTCCTTTCTTATTAACTGGCATTTAAAGTTTCAGTAATACACTCCAAGATATTTGTAGGAGATAAAAAATAAAAGAACATTTTACTTACAGTTGCTTGAAATCACAGACATGTGTGCTGCTTTCTTTCCTGCACACATACTTAGCAACCAGCTGAACAGATCAACAGCAAACAAAGCAACTGCCTCCAACTGAGGAAAGAAATAGAAAAGAAACACTTAGCAGAGAGGCGAGGTTCTCTTTGAATTCAAAGACTGGGCGGAATGACTGGTTGATGCTGGATAGACAATCACTGCAGTCCAGAAAAATCCCTCCCAGTCTGACAAACTACAGATAGCATGCAAGGTTGCAAACAAAACTCCAACTGTTTCGAAGAACTTTAAAACAGATATACCTGGCTTGAAAACCTCAAATGAACAGGGCTGTTACCCACTCTGAGGTTAATGGAAATTCAGGAGTGACTTATTACCAATTGTTTCTCCTTTTCCTTCCCCTTTCCTAAGCTGTTATAGAGGTGGCAGAAAGCATCTCCCCATCACACTAAGCTGTATTTTCTAGTCACAAACCCAAGCCCATCCTATGACACTTAATAGAAAAAAAATGCATTCTTGCTGCAGAATGCAGCATTATGGATTCCACCGGCAGCCACAGGTCATAGTTCTTTACAGTGTTTTCTGCAAGTTTCATATAGTCTCATTTTATACCACTGGAAATGGTGTGTGTCTTTAGAACAAGCTTTTTTTGAACCTAGAGAATAAGGCATGTACGTTGTTCACATAAGTGTTTTCCTGTTTTCAACAAAGCGGAGCAAAAGCTGTATAGCTGTCCTCAGCTTTTTCTAACGAAAGCATACAAGACCTCTCTATAAGCAGAAGTATATGAGTTTTCATGCTATAATTTTGGTTATGTACATTAGCTCCTCAGTAGTGAATGGGTTTTGTGAGCGTCTGATTGAGGAAATATCCAGTACTGTCCTTGGGGACTCTAGCTGGTCATACCTGAGGCATTGCTTTACCAACCATGTCCAGAATCCTCTTGAGTTTTGTGCACCATAACCTCAAAATTGCACAAGTGTTGTGTGTGGTTGGTCCACTGTTACACATATTCACACACTCAGTTGTACACTTGGTTAAAGGCCTGGATACATGACAAATGCCCCCCAAAAGGGTAGAATGTCTAGCACAGATTCCTTTATATACTCCGTTGCTGATTTTCTATATAGTGTTATTTTACATTTCTGAAATGAAAAACAAAAGCCCAGGCAACCCAATGCTCTTCAGGTGTCTTCTCCCTGTCAGACTGAACACATACAATATGAGCACAGAATCTTATAGTTCTCTTTGAATTGGTTTTTCCACTAGATCCAGAGTTACAGGTCCTTAATATTCCTTCAGTGTCTCTCAAAAGTTAAGCAGGTCTCTTGGAATCAGGAAACAATAAACCTAATAAAGAGTCCAGCTGGCACAGAAAGGGAAGGATGCGGCTCATCTTAGAGCTCTAAATCAGGCGGGACAAGAACATCTGCACTTACGCACTCAAGAATAATGAGTTCAGCCAAGGTCTTTCCTCAGGCTGGAAATAAGCCCACACACCTCCCATTCCCCAAAACGTTACTGTGCTCTACCTTTACATTTCCCTAGCTTTATTACTAAAGCCACTACAGGGACTCAGCTGAGATTATCATTTATCTGTCGAGGGAGGAGATCTGATGTGATTTTTTTTTTGAGTTATGGAACTGTTCCAAGTTCTTATCTTTTTTTTTTTTTTCATTTTCATCTTGCTTTAGCTTTACATTAATTATTAAACAAGGAAATCTTGAGTTGAAGTGAGTTTGGAGTTTAATATCTGGGGAACCCAAGGTAGTTAGCTAGACAACGTTCTACTGCTTGGTCAGTAGAATGATGCTCTGTATTTATTTTCGCCTCCTAGTTTGTTTATAGCTCACTGTTCCCTCTCGAGGCTTACAACAGTTACTGTGCAGTTACTTGTATCTTGGCACTGATTGATTAAGGTTTTCCTTGGACCTATTTTGAGCTGAGAAACAAATTAACTCTGTATTATACCCTGATTTGCCCAGCAGCCACTCCTTATTTCCAAATATCACACAGTCGTTAAGTCGTGTCTGACTCTCCGTGCCTCCTTATTTCCAAATATCACACAGTCGTTTAATCATGTCCGACTCTTGGACCAGAGCACACCAGGCCCTCCTGTCTTCCACTGCCTCCCAGAGTTGGGTCAAATTCATGTTGGTTGCTTTGGTGACTCTGTCCAACCATCTCCTCCTCTGTTGTCCCCTGCTCCTCTTGCCTTCACACTTTCCCAACATCAGGGTCTTTTCCAGGGAGTCTTCTCTTCTCACGAGATGGACAAAGGATTGGAGCCTCAGCTTCAGGATCTGTCCTCCACAAATATTTACAGAAGGAGAAATGCATGTATTGATTGGGAAAGGGACACAAAAGCTTTGGAGGGCTTAGGAAAGCAAGTTCAAGCCCCTTTAAAATTGTATCCCTGTGATTGCCAAGGCCTTCCGCCAACATCTGTCTCTGCTATTGACTCTGGAAAAATGCCACTGATGGGACAGATCGTTTAATTACAGCTGGTGGCTCTGAGACTCCCTTCGCACCTTTGTTTATTTGTATGGTAATATGGCCTCTATGCCCGAACTGGCGTGCTGTCATGTTGTAAATAATTCATGGCTTAGCAAATAATAAGATCCTGGAAGCTGGATGCTGGGGTGGGGCATACATCTGGGGTGGCCAATTAGCCTACTCCTGCAACCTAACCCGCAGCTTCTGAGCAAGCACACAGACACCCCCCTCCCCAATAGGTGCCGTTCTAAACCTTTCATTGTTGCTTAAAAGATTAACTGGCAAAGGCCAGAAGAGGCAGTTTTGCTTGTTGCTTTTTACCTAGCAGGAGTTTCACTTTTAATTTGAAATTACCCACTAAGGCAAAGGGAGTTTTTTTTTTAAATCTCACATACAGAGGAATATATATATAATTCATGCACCTCCCTTTCTCATTCTGCAGTTTTCTCGCTTTGACAGTGTCTGTTTTTCTGTGTTTTGATAAGCCGTGCTGAATAGTGATTTGTCACTCTTAACATTTCTGTGGAAAGGAGAAATCAGGCGGTGTGTTCTGGAAGTAAGACTTGCTTTTTCTCCAAAAGCACTTAGCAAAAAAACAACAACAAAAAACAAAACCCTATGCATTCAGAGTGCTAAATGAGGTGGTTAGTAATTTAGCAATTGCATATCTAGAGAGCGTTACTGTTTCTGAACAATGCTCACCTACTAGTATCTGTAGCACAGTATTATTTTTAAAATGTGCTTGTATGACCCTATGTTCCTGTCTTTTTTCCTGTTGACCTCTTGGGCTAACCATCTTTCTTCACAGGAAGAGCCCTTTGACTTCATGAGATGTTGCTCTGGGTTTCCACCTTCCTAGGGGTAGGGTTGTGAGCTCAACAACAGCCCTGATTCAGGGATTGGCTTCCACGAGTCAGTCCAAGGTCATGTTTTAAAGTGCTGGCCCTCCATTTAAAGGGCTCTACAACCCTCCTGGCAAATAGAAGGGGAAGATATGGAGGCAGTGACTGATTTTACTTTCTTGGGCTCCATGATCACTGTAGATGGTGACAGCAGCCACGAAATTAAAAGACGCCTGCTTCTTGAGAGGAAAGTGATGACAAACCTAGACAGCATCTTAAAAAGCAGAGGCATCACCTTGCCGACAAAGGTCCGCATAGTCAAAGTATGGTATTTCCAGTAACGATGTATGGAAGTGAGAGCTGGACCATAAAGAAAGTTGACCGCCGAAGAATTGATGCTTTTGAATGGTGCTACTGGAAGAGACTTTTGAGAGTCCCCTGGACTGCGAAGAGAACAAAACTAACCATTTTGAAGGAAATCAATCCTGAGTGCTCACTGGAAGGACAGATTCTGAAGCTGAGTCTCCAATACTTTGGCCATCTCATGAGAAGAGAAGACTCCCTGGAAAATGCCCTGATGTTAGGAAAGTTTGAAAGCAAGAGGAGAAGGGGACGACAGAGGACGAGATGGATAGACAGCTACCAACATGAATTTGACCAAACTCCAGGAGGCAGTGGAAGACAGGAGGGCCTGGAGTGCTCTGGTCCATGGGGTCACGAAGAGTCAGACACAACTTAATGACTAAACAACAAAGCAACCCTCAATTGCCAAGGAGGCTTTCTTTCTGGTGAAACTGGAGGAGCCTTGCAGCTAGACACGAAGACCTGAGCTGCAGGTCACGTCAACTTAAAAGGCATAATAGCTAGCATAGCTGGCCCTGCCCTTAGGCAGAGTGAGGTGGCTGCCCTCAGGAAGCACAGCATGGCTTTCTGGACAGGGAAGGCGATTGGTGTTACTGCTAGGGATTGTTACTGCTTAGGGAGTAGAACCTGCTGGACGTTCTGGCTCATCTTTCCCAGATCATGTGACTGGCCTTTGGAAACTAGGTTTCTGGATCTGGGTGAGGGTGGAACTCTGTTTTCTGTGTCTCAGGTGTCAAAACATCTTCAACAACAATGGGAGCTGGATGTGGAGGAAGAACCTTTTCTGGCCCCCAAGTTAGATTAATATTATTAAAGACACTGCCTAGAGAATGATAGGGTCACCTGACAATAAGTAACTGATTATATCCATTTTAATTTAATATATATCTCTTTATGCATCAGAAGGATAGAGTGAAGGACAGAAGATAAAGACAAGGTCCAAATGTATGTTGACGATGGTTGTTGTTTTTTTTTAAATAGTTTTTCAGTTTTGCTGTTCATTTTGAGGCCCATGTTTATCTGAGATTAGGAGAACTAAACACTGCTCTGCAATTTCGGAGGCCTGTTTCCCCTCCGCGCCGCCAGATGTTGTTGATGCAAAGCATCATCAGTCCCTTGCACTTCATTTAATAGTATCTTCAAATAAGAGGAACAAAATTACTTCTACTTCGCTTTTTCCATAGTCCAGAGATGAAATTTCCTTCTCAGCCCATTCAGTTAGAACGCAAGAAGCAGTCTTATTTGTTAACGAAGAGCCCTCTCATTAACAGGAAATGGAAATCAGAATTACTTAATCAGTCAGAACATTTTTAAAATCAACTCCCCTTGCTGTCTGTTATGCTATACTGTACATGAGGAACTTGCCTGAATTCTCTTTAAGAACTCCACAGCCAGATACCTGAACCACCGACTGTCTTGAATGATTAATAATACTTACATAGCTTTTTAATTACAAGATTTACTGTGTGTGACTCACACTGTCTTACCAATCTGTCTGATGAGGAGTTCAGTGTAACAAAAAAAAAGTGTGCCCATTTTTATTTCCACCCGGTTGCATGGCATGTATGGAAGATTTCTCAGCTTCCCAGATTTATTCCAGTTAGTACCATTTTAAAAATAATCTGAGAAAATAACTCAACATCCCATTTAAAATAATTGGTGAATGCAGGTAACTGCATGTTCTCATCTTGTGAACTTGATACACAACACGGGCCATTTTAAAAATAATCTGAGAAAATAACTAAACATCCCATTTAAAATAATTAGTGAATGCAGGTAACTACATGTTCTCCTCCCGTGATACACAACACGGGAGGCTAGATTCCAACTCAGGGTTGTTGTTTTTAATGACACAGACTTGCAACTCTGAGTCACCTGTTCCCTCCCCTTTTTTTTTCTGCTGGGAAAAAAAAAACCCTTGTTTTTAATCAGAACTCAGACCCAAAGACTTCTCAACATCCCTGTATCTAACTCACCTTCTCCGGGCTTGTGCTGATTTTCATTTCCTTGGCTGGCTGATCTTCGCCAAGACAACCAGAAGATCTCTGAAAGCAGAGAACACAAAACGGTTTGTGAACCCGTTGTTCTGGCTCAAGACGGTTCTGCCCTTTCCAGGCCACACCGCAGCCAGCGCGTCTTTGACTTAAAGATGCACTGCCGGTCTGCCTAAGCTGCTAGTCCAGAGTGCTCCTAAGAGCCATCTCCCACCAGAAGTCTGGTTCTTTATCGCACATTACACCACCAGCAGTTTCTTAACAAAGGTCCGATAATGCTATTACTCTTGTCTAACATCCACAAGTTTAAAGCATCTGCTGATTGAGGCCTCCGGTCTGAACACGGGCACTACCCACTACTTAGCCGCTTTTTAAGGAGGCCCAGCGGGGAATCGAACTTCCAGCCTCCGGCACCGCAGTCAGAGACCCAAGCCACAGAGCTGTCCAGCAATTCTTTCTCCAAGCCTTTACACCAGAGCAATTAAAGGTGGCATTGGGTGGGGAAGAGATACTCTAAAGGTATTCTCGAAGGCTTTCACAGCCGGGATCTGATGGTTGTTGTGGGTTTTTCGGGCTCTTTGGCCGTGTTCTGAAGGTTGTTCTTCCTGATGTTTCGCCAGTCTCTGTGGCCGGCATCTTCAGAGGACTGGAGTAGGCATTCTGTCCATGCTCTGTTACTTCTGAAGATGCCGGCCACAGAGACTGGCGAAACATCAGGAAGAACAACCTTCAGAACACGGCCAAAGAGCCTAAAAAACCCACAACAACCATCGGATACTCTAAACTTTGCATGAGATTTCAAATCAGCAACTTAGTAAGGAAAGGGTTCAGCTTTTCAGACCCTTCTGTGAAAAGCAGTGATGGGGGGGGGGTCACAGGTTTTAACGAGTTATCTATGGGTTTGTATTTAGAGGCGGATTAGCTGTGTTAAACTGTTGCAGCAAAAACCATGTGGTACCTTAAGGACTTAGAAATTCTGACGATCTGGGCTGCAGTTCTGTCCAAGGAAACTTGCTAAGATTTCAGGTGCCGTGAGATTATTTGTTGACTTGGCGAACAATTCTGATGGTGGGTTATTTTTGTTTTTATGCCTGTATGTGTTTTATACATTACCTTGAATGGCTTTTTTTCTGGAGAAGAAAAATGAAAGGGAGACAAAGAGGGAAAGAGAGCCGGGTGGGGGGGGAGAGAATATGGATTCGCACGTGTCGTTATGCTTGTGAAGTGTGTAACACAGTAGCTACGTGCAATGGGGAACACACGTTTTTAATGGTGACTGTTACATAAAAGAGCAATGTTGTTCAGTTCAGTTTATCAGATGAGGTAACAACAAAAACAACTCCCCTGCTGAAATTCCATCTGTCCCACAAATTATGAAAGTTACGCACCCTAGTTCCCTCTTGTGTCAGATCATGCCGAGATTGTATAAACTGGATTATTTGGGACAAGCGACCTTCCAGTGACCTTGGGGTGGAGACAACAGGCTAGAATGCGAAACATCTCCATTCTGCTGTTGTGTGAACAAAGCCGCCACCACATGCTACCCAAATGTTCATGTCTCCTGGTGCGTTTCCTGCTAACAGAGTGGAAAAAAGAAAGAGCTCTGAAATGTTTATTTGTGGCAAAGGGTTTCATACTGTTTGTAAGATGTTTAGTCATCAGGCAGCTTCTCTAAATACATTCTTGCATGAATGCATAGAAAAATGAGATGCATGAGCACTAAAATATCACAGATGAAAGCCCATTTGTGTATTTGTAGCACTTTGAGTTGGTGCGGATGTTCACAAAAATGAGGGCTGTGTGTGAGAGAGAGAGAGAACGAGATACACACACAAAGAGAAGGAGACAAAGAAAGAGACTGTCAGAGAGTCAGAGATAAGGCACTCAAATATAAGGCAATATATTGGACAGACATATTGGTCAGCAAATTTTAAAAAGCTAGCTCTGCAGTTTGTTTGCTCCATCCTGCTTTCAGCTTTCTGTTTGTTTGGTTTTTTAAAATCTTATTTTTAAAGCACCATTTATAGATTTACTTAGGTGTACTTCTTCTGCCCCTCTCTTGTTTGGTAAAACCAGTTTCTAAAACAATAAAAAAACTAATTCGGGCATAAGTGGGTTAGTGACGACACTGACTTCTTGCCAATCAGTGCTGTGCCAAGCTTCCATCTGCTCTAAATGTCCAGAACCACTGGCCCCTCAGTTGGATTGAAGGAACAAAATTGAACATCTAAGCTGCACACTTTGAAATTACTTGGGCATCAGACTTACTAAATAAATGATTTATGGGTATTCTTACATTGACAATAAGGTTTGCTAGTATCTGGAAAAGGACAAATCCTCAATTCCTTGTTACAACAACTTGGCCAAACTAGGGAGGGGAGATTATAGGCGCTGCAGTCTAAAACATCAGGAAGGCACCAAAACAGAGACGCCCATGCTGCATATTGAATTGTCCTGCTTTGATATGTGAGGCTTGGCCCCTTTTTATCACAAAAAGATTTTAAATGTTGCTGATGGGAATTCTTAGCTATGTTTACTGGGGAATTAATTTTAAACAAGCAACCAATATATACATTTGTAAATATGTGCTTCTCTTTTTCACTGTGATGTATACAGCTGGAACTCCTTTGTTATGGCAGGCATTGTATTGTACTAAAAGTATCTGAATGAATAGCTTATTTAAATTGTTTTTCCACTAATTAAAATATTGACAAATTAGGCAAAAATATACTGAATGTTCCATTGGGAGAAGTCTGTCTGTCTAGTGTGTGTGTGTGTGTGTGTGTGTGTGTGTGTGTGTGTGTGTGTTTGTGTGTTTGTGTGTTTGTGTGTGTGTGAACTGAGTGGCTGCTAATTATCCTTGGGTAATTTGATGCTTAGGTCAGCCTTCTAAGAAATGTTATTTTTAACCTAATTGATATCTTCCTCCTCATTTCCTTGATGCTTAGATCAGCCTTCTAAGAAATATTATTTTTAACCTAATTGAGATCTTCCTCCTCATTTTCAAGGTCCAAGAGTTCCTATGGTAGCTGTGTACAACATATCCGATAGACAAAGTAAGTAGCTGTCTTGGGGGCGTGAGTGTGCTTTCAATGTCAGGTTTCATTGTCTGGGAGAGAAGGATTCTTTTATCATGAGAACATTTAGAGTAGAAACCAAAGGTCTTCCCAACAATAGGTAGGTAGATAGGTAGGTAGATAGGTAGGTGGGTAGGTAGGTAGGTATCGAGTGGCAGTTCCAAAATAGGTCAATGGCCAGCTTTGGCCCTTCTTTACTTAACATGGGGAGGTTGGCTGACGTTGGGAGAAGAATCCACCCATTTCCGTTGTCGAGGCAAGCGGACCTCTTTCCATTAAGACGCTTCCCACAAAATATGTAAACCCCTTTCCTCTGCGCAGAAGTCCATCTGCCTCTGAGTGCATGTTGAATTTCAGATGAGCTGAATTTCTGCACATGATCACCCCCTTAACCCCAATATACAAAAGATGAGAAGGCACCGCCTGATTTTGCCAGCTTTTTGCAGTGGAAACCAAACCTTTGCAAAAGTTCAACAGGAAACTGCTTCATAGCAAATATCTTCGGGCAGAGCCAGAAATGGGGATAAATGAAGTTGGAGATAAGTCAGAGGAGATGACAGGGGAGGAAGAGCAAAGGACATCTTCGTCTGTGTGTCCCTATCCAGCATGTAGGAGAGATACAGTTGGATATGGGCCATTACAAAGCTTTGTTGAATTGCCTCATTTTTGTATCTGATGATATGACATTTGGTTTCTCATGCATTATATGGGACTCTTTGGCCATATTGGAGAAAGGCAGCCATTGTGGCAGGCTCTTGTTCGAAAAGTTCTATTTATTTCATAATATGAGGCCACATTAAGGGAGTATTCTGCAGTTATCAGATACTGTAAATCCCACCCAATATTACCATGTGCTTACATTTAATTAAGAACTGGCTATTTGTACTGTGCAGACAAGAGTCCCCGGTGGCCCGGAAGCAGGGAAATGAATTGAGAATTCTCCGGGAGATATGTCAGTCTCCTCTTGTTCCCTCCACTCCTTTCCCATCTTTCTCTTGATGCAATTATATGAGCAAATAGAACGGCTTTCCCCGTGTCCCTGCGTGGCCACCCTCTTTCTGCTGATAAAGCTAATTGTGTGAACCGTAATTAAATGAGGATCCTAACATTTAACCAAACTTAATAGTCTTAGGCTTTGGAGCTTTCACAAGGGTTACGATTTCAATAAAGATGTGGGAAGACTTTTCAGGAGGAAAGGCTGCTTGCTCACTGAACCGTGAGACCTACCTGCTGAAATCTCTGTTGGGGGGGAGGGCGGAGAGACAGAGGAGAAAACCACCCTTCATTAACTGGAATTGGAAGGGATTCGTGACCCACCTACTCCTTCTTTGTTTGATTCATTAGAGACAAATGCCCGGGCCCAGAGCATGATTATCAATTGCAAAATTCTGTAGTGTAAGGAGGGAAAGGCACCTGTCTCCCTCTTTTAGAATATCCAAGCACAGGATATTGTCAGAAATAGAAGTATTTATGCCAGAACACCTCCCTCCTGCCCAACCTGTTACTTCTCTAACATAGCCATTGACTATGTAGAGAGGTATCGCTTTGTTGCTGTATTGAAACATTTCCACATGGTCACAATGCAGGTCCACCAGCCCAAAGGAGATGCATGTGTGTCATTCTTAATGTAGGGATGTATGAAATCAGGGTTGGGATGAAAGAATAAGAATAAATGACAGACTGCTGTTGGTTGGTTCAATTGATATTTATGAAAAGGCTACTGTACATGCATGCGTAGCTGGATCAGGACCATGAACAATTGCATCTCTCTCTCTCTTTTTTTTAATGGTCCTTTAAGAAGCTCTCTGATAATCCATGCAGTATTAGCTTTCTCCTTACCATGATGGTCTAGCCTTTAATTCTGTGTTGCGGAAATGTGTCCCCCCCCCCCCGGTACCAATGCATGATGCAAAAATATATTGCTGTTTATCGGTGTATGATAAAATTAATTCCTTGGAGGATTCTTTGGATATTTTTTTTAAAAAAATGCCATCTATTCCTACAGAACTCTTTGACTTGGAATTAAATGAAAAAGTGCAGAAGGCTGTAGCCGACAGACAGATGCCCATAAAAGACTATGTGGAGATCAAAATCCATGATTACAGTAAGTTATTTAAATTTATTTGTTTCATTTCAAGTGTTGGCACGCTTTCTTTTAATTGCACGCCAACGAACAAAAAAGCTGGCAAGACTTCTACATAACATTATGCTGTATATAGATATTATAAAGAAACGTAATTCTAGACTCACCAAAAAAAAGTAAAAAAGCAACACGTAAGGCCAATTATACTGAAGAAAGAACAAAAAGCGCCGTTAAACAACAGCGCAACATGGATTGCCTGTCTCTTTGTTTTCGTATCTGTGACAAAACCATGTCATCACATCGGGATTAAAAAGGAGAAATTGTACACATGTCTTTTGTACTAGTCAATTTTTCTCTCTCTC